GGGGGGGGGAGGGCTTTGGAACTGTGATAGTTTGGTTGGTCTGGATTGAAGGATGTCCAGCCAATTCGATTCAAAATCTGTTTTGGAGAAGCTCTTGAGATCTTTGCAGTTGTTGGCCCTGAAAAATCGTGAGATCTCTAGCTCTTTATGTAGTTGGTCTCACGGTTTTCTTGACTTCTTGAAAGTTGCGGGAATTTTGCTCCCCTAGAAACTCCAAATAGTAGCCAGGATGGAGACTCTCCAAAGAAATAATCCTGCTAAGGCGTAAGGGGGGAAGAAGTAGGAGGCGAAAGGATATTCAATGGACCCCGATGATGTTTTGGCCCAAACTTCATAAGCAAATGTGCCACGAAAAGATAGATGAGAATGTTCTTCTTCTTCTCTACAAAGTGAGCATCTATTTGAGGCTGTAACCTCTTCATATAAGTTGGTCTAAAGTCATGTTTCGGTTGGAGATTACAAACCAGATGAAAGTTTGGATTTTTGGAGGGATTTGGGTGACCCAAGCTTTCTTTTGAATGGACAATTTGTGGGAGGAGAAAGGGTCAACTGTTTTATAAAAGGAAGAAACCGAGAAGACCCATGTGTGGGCTTTGGCCATACCACCCTGTCCATTCCAGATCCAATGATGAGAAGGAGGCCAGAAGGTTATGGAGAGATATCAGATCCTCATAATCATGGTCATAAAGTGATCTTCCAAAGATGGGTGCCCATATTTGGTGAGGGCCAAGGTATATTAACACGGATCGATGACCCGGATCGTCCATCCGAAAAACTGGTCTGACTTGGCCAATCAGCAGTCTGGATCAGTGACCTAGCCGATGAACCAGCCAATAAAAAATTTTAAAAAAAAATAGAGAACAAAAAAATTGAAAAATATTAAAAAAATAAGTGGGATGGATTCTCTAACAGAACTAGCCAGTTTTGTCAGAGAACTGGCCGGTTCCCGATATTTGGAAGAACTGGACTGTCCCTCCCGTTCCCAATCCGAACCAGCCAGTTCCGGTCTGGTTCACCATTTTTTTAACACTAGGGAGGGGTATTGCGTTCAAAATATTAAGCCACTATAGCATTGGGGTTAGGGATATTGCAAAGACATTAGGCCAGCTGTCTTTAAGGTGTTGATTGTCTATCCAAGCGTGATTCCAGATAGAAATTTTTCTCCTGAATTAACTGAACCTTTTACAAGGCATGAAAAGCTCATGACATCTACAAGTTTTTGATAAAGCTGGAAGAAGTTGTAGGCCTTCGGATACTCTCAGGAAACCAGCCCAGCATATCAATACCATACTTCTGAAAGAGCACTTGCTGCAGTAAAAGGTTTGAGTTGGTGGTGAAACATGATAGCCCACTTCATCAGCTTAAGGCTGTTGATGCCTATGCCCCCAACCTTTTTAGGCTTACAAACTTTATCCCAAGCAATTAAGTGGACTTTATTTTTGGAACTATCCCTAAAACAAACAATTTTTCTCATAGACCTTTCAAGAGAGTTGATGCAAGCAAGCATTCTGAAAAGTGAAATCGAATAGATTGGGATGTTAGATAGGATAGCTTTGATAAGAGTTATCTTGCCTCCAAGAGAGAGGTACCTGCCTTTCCAACAAGCAGCCTCTTCTGGAATTTTCGACTATAGGGTTCCAAATAACCTTTTTTAGTTTTTTTTTTTTCTTTCATGGTTCAACAAAATCTTAAACACCTGTAATAGGCATCCAGCATCTGAATGAACCATATAAGCAAAGAAGATATACACATGGTCATTCCCACATGTAACCATCCACAAAAGAAAGTATGAGCTCCAAGCACATCATTTACAAAGTCAAAAAAAATAAATGGGATTTGACAATAGTATGGGGAAAGAGAAATTGAGAGACAAATGAGAAATATCTAACATATCAATTTGAAGTAAATTCGAAGTGAAGGAGCCATGTCCACATACAATATGATGAGCACAAAACAAAACAGTCTAACTCTTTAAAACAAAATTACCAACTAGAACTCCTAGACAGAAAGATATTCTTACTTTTTGGAAGGAAAAGTAGCAGTATTATGATCCTCCATAAACCTGTAAAAAGAAGAAGCAACTTCAAGTATGAAAACATCAGGACTTGGTAACAGCATAATTAAAAAAAAAAAATCTCAACATTATTTGTAGTTTAGGGAGTCCATTTCAGACGGCAACTAAATTTTGACGCCAATCACAAATGCTATGCATTAAGAGAATAAAATAAAACTTGTAAGCCATAGCATCATACTCCTTGAACAGTTGCTTCTCTTCTCGGTTCGATAAAGTCTCAAGGTTCACCTGCAAATCAAAGATGCCAGTCATATGATTGAAAACTCAAATATAGCATTTGAGGACGTCTTCTGAAGTAAATGGATATTCTTTGAAAACTAATACGAAAGGGAAAAAAAATTGTCTCAGAGTTATACTTAACCTCAAACTATGAAAAACACATGCTATAATAAGACTGCAGTATCAAAAATATGATCTGGATGAAGAGTAAAACAAGTGAAATCATATAGAAACAAGCTACAACCTTAAACTATGTATTATTTGACATCCCGTCTTTTTTTTATTTGATAGTATAATATAGAAACTTAGGAACATAGACCTTATCTCATATTATATATCTGGCTTTTACTTAGAACTTCAGCCTTTAGGTAAGGCAGGTACCAATCCAAGAGTACAGAGCCAAAACCAGGTCCAATTGATGTAGAGATCAACTAACAAGAATGCAATTGATTTGCTAAGCTTTCTTTCTTGTGATTCAGAATCTCAATTAAATGGAGCCCAAAAAAGAAACTTCTAATGAACTAATGTGAAATTTAGAGACTTGAAATCAAAAGAAACCAGATTCCATAGCTCTATCAAGGACCCCACAACACAAGCAAACAATGCCAAACAAATCATGACACTTGAAATAATGTGTCATTTACATAGCCAGTGTAGTTCCATACAAAAGCAGTGTGGGCTCAAATAAAGATGCCATACCTTCTTCACTTCTAATAACCATGCCCCAAATTCTGGCCTTTTATTCCTGAGATCAGGAAAGGGATAAATCATCAAAGTTGATTTATACATATACAAGGATACACAGATTTGAGTCTCAGAATACTGCTATCAAAATTGATATTTCAGGCACAACACATCCATACACCATAAAAGAATGGGGGACGGGGGATTTTTGGTGACATGAAGTACTTTTCAAAAATAAATGCCAAGAAAAAGTGTCTAGAGTTTTAAAGTGAGAAAGAGTGGTGTCTCATCCCCCGTGTGTCCGTGTTACATGGAAGGTCTAAGAACTTTTTCATTAACAAGGTAACACCATTTTCCGGTAATGGATAATGACATGAATGCCGGTGGTAGTTCTGTACAAAAGGAAATAAGGATCACCAACAAGAAAGGCACAGCATTTCAAGCAAGAAAAGGGTATCAAGAAGATAATACACTCTTTCGTTTAAGGAAATGGAAGAGTCAAAAAAGCTAATCAGTCTCCTCAAATTCCAATTCTCAACATTTTTGTCAATAATCACAACACTTCTTTCAATTTAAGACTATTTGAGAAGAGATATGATGAATAAATCAGATAATTTCCATTGCCTCGACAGAAGAGAGAGGGAGAGAGGAAAAGTCAGATGGAGTTAGAGAGAGATGCCTACCACATGTCGATCTCTTTTAAAATGCCATATTTACCCCAAGAACCTGTCACTGCACCTTTTGTCACTTTTTTCCTCTTACTCTTCTTCTTCTTCCTTTTCGTCTCTTCCTTCTCTCTCTTCCTCTTCGTTTTCATCTTCTCATCTTCATTTTTCCTTCTCTTCCTCTCCTCACTCTCTTTCTCTCTCCTCCTCCTCTTATCTTTCCTCCTCTTCCTCCTCTCTTCCTCTGAAGAAGAATCAGAATCATCTGATAAGGAGTCTGATTCCATTGATTCTTCATTTTTCCTTCTCTTCCTGTCATTTTCACTCACTTTGTCTCTCCTCCTCTTATCTTTCCTCCTCTTCCTCCTCACTTCCTCTGAAGAAGAATCATAATCATCTGAAAAAGAGTCTGACTCCATTGATTCAGAAGAAGACTCCTCTGAACTTTGCTCGTGCCTTTTAGACCTCTTCTTAGAGTGTTTCCTTCTCTTTCTGGGGCTTTCCTCATCACTCTCTCTGATCTCTTCTCTCTCTTCTCTGCTCCGGCTTCTCTTGTGCTCTTCTTTGCTTCTGCTTCCCTTGTCTTCTCTCCCTTCCCTGATTCCACTTCTCCTATCCTCCCTCTCTAAACTCGTACTTCTCTTTCTTTCTCTATTTTCCCTGTTCCTGCTTCTCTCATCTTCTCTCTCTTCCCTTCTCCTGCTTCCCTTGTCTTCTCTCTCTGAGCTCCTAATGTCTCCATTTAGGGTTTCCTTTGCCATTGTAGGGACAATCAGAAATCTAAATCCATACGATAAATGCTTCTAAAACCCTAGGAAAATCCCTCAACTAAACCTACATAGAGAATATAGAAAACAAGAACCTGATTCCTTTAAAAAAAGGATTTGAAAGATAAGAAGGAGAAGAGCCCGCCATTTATGGGAGCTCAAAATGAGTTGCAGAGAGCGCGAGTCCCCATCCCTCTCTGTCGCTCTGATTCTCTCTCAATTTACAGGACCTCAAAGATCTTAGGCGGTCATGAAGATGACGTTAATACCCCTGCTTTTCTCCCACAACTTTTTCCAAAGGATTCTGTTTTTACGAGGCCTAGGACCCATATGTAGGCATGCGTCCCCTCTTCGTGTTATATTTTCTAGATGGATTTTGTGCTTAATTTTTTTGTTATATATAATTTCTAACAAGTAGATCATTAAAATATGTAAAATAGATATATGTTTAAAAAAACTAAAAAAAATAATGACAAAAATAATCAAAGTATTGGTTTTTATCTTTTCGTGAAGGGTGTGGTTTTGCATAAAGTTGCAACCCTAAACAATCCAATTAAGACAGCTTCAAATTTTATCATAAGATATAATTTTGGTATTAAAAATTTTTAGGATTGCCTGAAAATCTATAAAAAATTAATTATAAAATTTTAAACTCTAAAACTAGTTCAAATCAAATATATCTATACACATATAAAAATATTGAAAATTGACAGTTTGGATAATGTGTTGCAAGTGCATTATTTATGTGGACTAAAAATCTTTTTCTTTTTCATCTTCATACCTCTCGATGTCGAGACGATCAATTAAAAAGTTTTTCAACATTATTTTGAGCTCCTTTCACTCTCTTCATTGTATTCACCGCTCTCTTCGCTATCTTCATCGCTCTCTTCACTGTCTTCATTGGCGCTCTCACTCACAATTTACCCACGATTTACCCAGCGCTCTCTCTCACAATTTACCCACGATTTACCCAGCGCTCTCTCTCACAATTTACCCACGATTTACCCAGCGCTCTCTCTCACAATTTACCCACGATTTACCCAGCGCGCTCTCTCTTACGATTTACCCAACACGCTCTCTCTCTCACGATTTACCCATTTTCACTGGTGCTCTCTCTCTCTCTCTCACAATTTACCCATTCTTTGTCGGTGTTGTCTCTCTCTCACGATTTGCCCATCATAGGTAGTAAAAAAAACCAAGTTGTGGTGCTCTCTTTCTCTTCACGATTTACCTCTCAAACCAAACTCCCTCAAACCAAGCTAAAGCAATTGAGCTCGATTTTAACCTTAAATCAGGCCACAGGTACGAAAGAGAATTTACTATTGTAAAAATAAAAAATAAATTATTGTCCTTCCTGTAAAAATAAATAATAAATCGGGGTAGTGGTTTCTAGATGGTTTTCTCTTTGATCCCACATGTAATTTAACTTTTATGGATTTTATTTAGGTAAATTGTTGATGATTTATATTATATGACATTCCTTTCATGGCTAGATAGATTCTTCATGCATGTATTGAAGATTCAAATCAGAGAGAATAAATTGAATCCATGTGTATCTGTTCTCAATCTTGATAATCCACTTTGTTAAAATTATCTAAAAGAATAGATATTGGTTTAAATGTGGTATATTTACGGCTTTGATGTTATTGGTAGTTGTAATTTTTTTAAAAAAAATGTTTACTTTTGTATAAAAAATTGAATGTGGTATCGTAACAAAAACGGGTCTCATTGTGAAGTTAGCTGTGCAAAAATTTGACTAGAGGAGAGAATTTGTTACAGAGAGAATTTCGAGATTATAGAGTTGCCTTTTTTACAAAAAAGCTAGAAAAAATGAAAAGATCAAAACATGTGTCCCCTATGGTCCACTGCAAATCAAAGAGAATACATTGTCCCATTTTAGTAGTTGTAAATTTTTATTCCCTATTGTAAATTTATACTCTACTGGCTGGAACTGAGTTTGTTTTGCTGTCAATTTTAGATATGAATAATCCATCATATTTTTCTTGTTAACTTTAATTCATTAAAAAATAAAATTATGCACAGCTCTTGTTTTTTGTAGGTTATATACCCCCAACAATATGCATACCTCATGTTAAAATTTGATTATAGCTCTTTAAAAAAAAAAGCTAATAGCTTGCTAAACTTCTGCAAGTTCAAGGTTAGTATTAAGATGTTGTAATGCGATGTGTGGAATGTAAATTATTACTAAATTTGTGCATGACAAAAAAAAAAGGGTGATAACAAATTGGGTTATTGTATTTTTCGTGGAGAATTCCGATCAAGTGCCGATGAGACTGTGGATTATATTGGTGGTGATGCACATACATTTATGATTGACAGTAGTACTATGTTAGATAACTGTCATATACCCCCCCCCCCCCACAGTCGCAATCAAATGTGCCCTCCCTCGCAGGCCATGATTATAGAAATACTCCCATGTGCCCCCCTCGCAGTCACAATCCCATGTGCCCACCCTCGCAGGCCATGATGACGATAGGAGATTGGTATATTATCTAATTTATGTATTTTATCTTTTATTGACTTAATATGCATTCAAAATAATTTTCTATTTTATTTTTCATTGTCTACTTGTAGCGATTAACCTGTATAGGGATGCTACAAGCTGCACTTAGAGGTAAAGTATTAGCAGGGGAATCAAAACATTATGTACATGCGACCCATGATTTACTATTGCAGAACACTCCTGTAGAGACAAATGCCGAGGAGAGGGTGGAGGGAAATGGTGGAAGCGAGAGCAAGGAGAGAGATGGTGGAGATGACGAAAGTCAGAGCGATGAGAGAGACGGTAGAGATGATGAAAGCGAGAGCAAGGAGGTAAATAGTGGAGATGATGAAAGCGAGACTAAGGAGGGAGATGGTGGAGATGAGGAAAGAGAGAGCAAAACCGATGACGAAAATGAGAAGAGAACGAAGAACATAAATGACAAAAACTAAAGCAACCAGATTCAAGTTCTGCCGCCCTTGCATGAAGAATCAAGGCGAAATTTGTGATCATGAAGAGAGGGAGATGTTTAGGCGGAAAGGACTAGAAAGGAACCCGATGTAAAGGGAAAGGATATTGCAAGCTGGCCAAAAAAATGGCTGAAGCGAAGAAAATGATTGACATGTTTTTTTTTAGATGATACTCAAATATGTAATTTGAAAAGTGACTAATGCAAGTTGCAAAGGCTATGAACCTTATTTTGAGTTGTATTTTTCATTTGATATGTGTTTTTGAGTTTCTAAGAGTGAAATGTCAATTTTTTTTGTACAATTGAAGCTACTATATCATAGTAGCCAACTAATGAAATGTCTCATTCTAATAGATTTTTTAACTTTGAAGTGGCATGTCTTCTTCTTACTGTTGGAATTGTTGAATGATAGTTGGTTAGTTGAGACACTTTCCCAATGTTACTTTTGTTCTTGGAATTTTTTCTATTTCTCTTGGATGATACTATTCAAGGGGCACCTTGAGACTTTAAGAATGGATGTGGATTATATTTATGTGAACATGTGATTTTCATATTTTTTTTTATTTTAACATGAAATGATAATCTTTATGATGATGTTGTAGCTGTGGTTGTGTACACTTAGATTGATGTCCAGTACATTGCTGCTACCAATTTTCAAACATCAAGTACATGTTGTGCGTTATTAACTAAAACATGAAACATGAAACATAAAACATGTTCCATTAACTAGGAAACATAGTTTTGGGGCGGTCCAGTGATTTTTGGGGGCAGTTTGGCAATTTTGGGGGGCATTCCGACGATTTCGGGGGCCACTCCGAAGATTTTGGGGGGCGGTTTGGCAATTTTGGGGGGCAGTCTGATAATTTAGGGGGGCGTTCTGGCATTTTAAAGGGGCAGTTCGGCATTTAAGGTCATTTGGAACTGCCCCGGTCTGGCGTTATTAGGGGCAGTCCGGAGTTCAATGTCACTAGAACTACCGGGTTCGGCGTTCTGAGGGCAGTCCAACAGTTTGGAAGGGTAGTCTGGCGTTTTTGAGGGGCAGTCCGGCGTTTAGTGTCACTGGAAATTCCCCTGGTCCGGCGATATGATGGGCGGTCCGACAATAAAGAAGGTCAATCCAGCATTTTCAAGGGGCAGTCCGGCGTTTGGCAGAGGCAGTCCAACGTTTAGTGTCGCTGGAACTGCCCCGTTCCGGCCTTATGAGGGCAGTCCGGCAATGAGGAAAGTCACTCCGGTGTTTTCATGGGCCAGTCTAGCGTTCAGTGTCATTGGAACTACCTCAATTCGGTGTTCTAAGGGGCAATTCGGTAGTTTAATAGGTCAGTCTGGTATTTTGAAGGGGCAGTCCGGCGTTCAGTGTCACTGGAATTGCCCCGGTCCGACATTCTAAGAAATAGTCCGGCGGTTAGAGAGGCTAATCTGACGTTTGTATATGGCAGTCCAAGGATTTTTGCTGTCGATTGGCGCTCGACATTTTACAAATGCGATCCGATAATTATGGAATTATGAGAGGGCGATCCGGCATTCATAACCTCGGTCCGACATTTTTTTTATTGGACCCGAAAATGAGTTTTTAAATTAATGGAAGGGTATCTTCGTCAAAAAAAATTCCCTTTTTGTATTGTGGGGGTATTTGCTAGGAAACATAGTTTTGGAAAAAAAGTTGTTAGAAAAGCAAAGGTGGGCGATAAGTTGAATGAATAGATGATTTTGGGGGGGTTTATGCAATTTTCCCTTCATCTTTAAGATAGAACTGTCCTGCCTCACGAGTACACAAATGCAGTTACGTGTCTCACAACATACAAAGCATTTATCCATTTCTAAAGGAAAAAAGTTTGTATGAGGTGCAAACCTTAAATTATATAAGTCATGCACACCTCGAAAACCTCATGTTTTTTGTGTTAAGAAAACCATCTAATTAATCATCTCCACTTCAATAAGTATGGATATGAAAAAGGAGACAATATTTTAAGTATCGTAGATAGTGCATATTGTAACAAATTATCTGGATCATTCATTTATAAGATTTTCTAATATTCATAGATTTTTTCAAACTATTCTCTCAGCTTTCACTTAAGTATCCCAAGTGTTTCATTCATGTTGGGTAAGCTAACCTAATGCAGTCCCAAACCCCAAATGTTTTTCAATTAAATATCTTAGGCAAAATTTAGAGCAACACAAGGGATTTTAACATTTTATCTATAACCTAAGCCAAGTGATGCGATCCATCTACTTGTTCCATAATCTAAAAAAAAAAAAAAAA